CGCTTTGGGACGTCCTCCTGACGTGAAAAGCGCTATATCAAATGCAAGGATTATTATTATTATTATTATAGAAACTTCATTTCAGATTTTTTTTTCTCCTTCCTAAATGGATTCAGTTTCCACTATTATTTAGGAAATGGTCTCACGTTTTTAATAAGTAGAATATTTGTGGAACTTCCACAAAAAAATGTGTTTTACTTTACAGATTGGACATGATTTTTACTGTTAAAAACTGAACACAACTTGCAATGTGAACAGTGTTAGGCAGCATATAAAGAACTGCACTCTTAATGAAATGCTTAACCACATGCATTGCATATGCAATATCCCCTCTACCCCCAGCACCCATTGCTCTATATGTATTGATTGCTTAGAGTAGAGCTGTGCAGATGGGTTAGTTCCTGAAATTGTTGGTTTTATTTGGTTTAGTAACGTAAGCAAGGCTTACGTGCTTGCTGTTCTGGTTAGTGCAGAGCAGATAAGATCTCTCCAGGCCTACCATGCAGTCTTTCACCCGCAAGAACATGAGGAAAATCTTTGTGAAATCCCGACGTTTTGCTCTCATGAAACACAAAAGACCAATGCGGGACAGGTAGATCAGCATCTTTGTGTATTGATGTTAACTGCTTGGAAATATTGTGCCTTTTAACGCGTGTGCACTTTCAGTTGAGGTTTTTTTGAGGAACTTTCTGGTCATCGTTAAATAATGCAAGAAATGACAGGACTAAACTTATTTTACGGGGTTGATTGGATTCATTTTGTATTTATAATGTACTCTGCTTTACAGGTTTACTAGAAGTTCATGGGCATATTCAACTATTCTTTTTGAAGTGACAAATATTGCTGTAGTGGTAGTATGTGCGATTAAAGGGTTAATTATTTCCCCTGTTCAATTTGTTTACACCTAACAAGATTTTTTTGTGTGTGTGTACATGTGAATTCCTTGTCTTTTCTGACGTATATTTTAACTCAAATAGAGTTTAGAGATATTCTGGTTACTTATCTGCAAAGCCATGATATAAATACTGCAGCAAGTTTTGATGTGCCATTGTGCAAACTGACAGAAGCAGAAAGTGGGGTTTGAAAGAAAGGAGATGTTCACTGCACTGGTTGCGAAACATTGAAATTAAAAGCTGGTGCTCGATGACTCTTAGTAGAGTTTATATTGCGTTACCGCGTTTCTTACTAGCGTCATGGTGGACGTGCGATGAATTTGGGAGATTAGTGAAGGTCTTTTTATTCTTAATGTAGGAATTGCTAGGTTTGTCCACAGACAACATACGGCGCAGTGTAAACACACTCACTGTTACTGTGCTTCTCAGATCTGCCTTTGGAGAAACTGTGCTAGAAATCATTAGTAGGGCTGTTGTTAAAGAAGTTAATTTATAGATGTACAACCTTTTGTATTGTGCCTTTCCAATATTTAATCACATGTGAGTCAAGACAGAGTATCACACAATTACATTTGGGAAGCCCTTAATGGTTTAACTGGATTATCAGTGCTTAGACCCTATAAATCTACAAGAACATCTGTAACTAAAGGAAATAGCTCTTCTTGTTTTTAACAACTGGTTATTAATATTCCACCAACTGAAGTAAATGCTATATAATGGGCTGTTGCGATACAATGTTTGCAGCAGATTAATGTCAAAAAGCTTTGCATTACGGTAGATTGTTCCTTCTTGTGGTACAGCAAGTATTTGATGCTATTAAATTCAGTGAGTAACGACTTGTGGTACCACAGCAATTCAAGCTGTTTTTGGTCTCTCCCAGTTGGTACAGTATTAATGGTATTTCCTCAACCATATCAGATTAGTTGAGGTTACAAGGCGGTGAGTTGAGGTTAAGCCGCCTACACGGGTAGATAAGAATGGTGGCGGTTTTGTCCATGTGCTCAATTGAGTGTGAAGAATAAAACGTTCGGATCATGATTGTGAAGACCAGACAGGACAGTCAGTTAACTTTCATTACTGAGGAGGGAGCTCCGCATTATTGTCCTTCAGATGAAATGTCAAACCAAGGTTCCATCTTTCTACTTAGGTCCGTGATCCTTTGCCATTAAAAAGAGAAGGTTGTTACTCCTGGTGTCCCGGCCAACAATTCTCCAGATACAATTGGTCATTCACTTCATGACTATTTGCGGGACGTTGCTGTGTGGAAATTAGCTGCCACATTTGTCTACAAATATAATGCTGTATAAAGTTATCACAAAAATTAAAATGGAGATCGGTGAATGCACAAATGTCACACCATGATGTGGTGCTTGGACAAAAAGTTTGGTGAACAGCTTAGCCCTCATCTTTAGCCTCCAGAGCTGCAACGATTGTGCTTCTGAATGGTATAACCTTTCTGCTTAAGTTCAGGAGGTGATTGGAGTGTACTGCTTATGCTTTCAGCCTCTCGCCAGCCCTGAGCGTGCGGTTCAGCTTGCAGGACAATAGATATGTTCCTTGCCTGAGGCAAGATCATTCATTGACTCAGTCAGCGTAGGATTGATGTGAGCAGCAGCCAGTCACTGCAGCGTGTTGAGCAGTGATGTGGAGAATGGCAAATTGACAGCTCTTGCAAACTCTGCACGTTCCGTGTGGCACATTTGCAGACTGTCACCATTATCCGGTTCAAATTAATTATAGATTGATAGTCCTAAAGAGTGGAGAGAAGCGTTAATTCTGCATGACATTTTTACTGCAGTTATAACTAAATCATGACTATTAATTGAAACAGTAATTATAAGATTTGGGTCAGCTCAGGCTGATGGGATGAATCTACTTGTAAAGGAGCATGGTTAAAAGTTGCCTTTGATTTACACCCTAAAAAACGCTGCATGAAAACACTATTGCATTTTCTTGAAGATGGTGTTTCCGTCCCAATGATTTGTGCATTAATTAGGATTCTAGTCTTCAAGTTTTGGGTGAAAAATTATCTTAAACATCAAAATTTACCTTATAAAAGCCTGGCAACAATTATAATCTAATAATAAGCGTTTACAACTGTAGCCTTCTGATCCTTCAAATGTCACCTAGGTTTAGCGTGCAAGATCATTTTGTCTGCAAATTTAAGATCCTACAAAACTGGGGATTGGTCTCAATTTGAAGCTGGTTCTGTTTTGAGAAGGCTGAATTTAAGAATTTTCTACAGTTCTGTGATTTTAATAAATTTACATTATATCAGATGTAAGTATTATTATCGACAACAACAACTTGCATTTATATAGTGCCCTTCATACGGGATAGTATCGGGGAGTGCGTATCTTAAACTTCAATGCAAGATGATTCTTACAGACTGAGAGTGGGTGGAATTTGAAGCAGAGAGGTGATGTGGTGGATTGAAGAGAGGAAGGGGAACTTGCATTGGCACACACAGTTTTTTTTAATTGGGTTTTGAAGGTAAGGAGAGAGAGAGAGAAGGCTGAGAATGAAGGGATTTGGGGAGCCCCAGATTGCTGGGACATTGCAGCAGCCAACAGATCAGTGACAAGTTTGTTCCTTGATGGCCAGGACGATTCGACTGCAAAGAACACTTTGCTGATTTCATTTGTGCACTTGTAAACCAGTTACAATTTTATACAATGCAAAATTACATTTGTATAGCACCTTTCACGTAGGGAGGACATACCTAATCGCTGGGCTTTAAGGCCTTCAACCAAAATTATGTTCAAGGATATCCAGTTTCCTTGGATATTCAATCTCTTCTCACATTTCATGTCTCTGGTCTGGTAGATGGTTCTTCTTCTGTCTCTTTTTTTGGCATAACCACAACCACTTGCATTTGTATATCACCCTCCACATCAGATAGCACTTTACACCCACTGGGTGAACAGGGGAGTGAGCAGTTGGAGCTATAAACATTGTGTTCCTCAGACAGCCAAAGTCACCTGAGGGTTCTTGTGGCCTCCAAACATGGCATTGGCTGGATCTTGTAGTTATTAACGCGCTAAGTCGAAAGTTTGGATTTTGGATTTGAGATCTTTGAATGTTGCTTTACGGGATCCTGACTCAACTTATCAGATATTATAATAATAATCATCATTAAAAATCCTTCCATTTGATATAGCTCTTTATCATGTCGTTGAGTCTTTTCAACATGCTTCACGTAATATATTGTAAAGTGAATTGACTGGAGTTTTGTGGGGAAAATGTTGCAGCCAATTACGCACAGGAATATTCCACAAGCTGTCATGGATTGAGCCACCAATTTTTTTTCTGAGGGATTATTAATAATAAATATTTAATAATCCTTGCATTTGATATAGCGCTTTATCACGCCTTTAAGACGTCTCAAAGCGCTTCACAGAATACACTGTAAAGCGAATTTACTGTATATTTTGTGGGCGAAATGCGACAGCCATTTGCGCACTGCATTATCTCACAAACAATCGTTGATTGAAGTGACCAATTTATTGTTGTATTTTTTTCTTGAGGGATTATTATCAGGCGTGTGAAGTAAGGAAACGTGCCCAAGGTTTTGCCCTGCCAGGAATCGAACCCAGGTCTCTCGCTTGCGAGATGAGTGCTCTAACCACTGAGCTACAGGATTATTGCCTCTGGAAAGGGGTCAGCCAATTGACTAACAATTGGGTTCCTACCTACTGCTAGGTAAATAGAGGCATGTGGAGTAAGGAAACTTGCCTAATATTTTGCCCACAAAACATACAATATATATCGGCAATATGCATCTTCAATATTTTCTGGAGGATTGTGCTGCCATTGGATATTTTGTTTCCCCCACAAAACATACAGTCCAATTCACTTTAGAGTATATTCTGTGAAGTTCTCCAAGGACGTGATAAGTAACGTTGGTATTATTGTTCAGAAGTTGAAGGGTGAGTACACTTTATAATACATTTTATTGTGTTTATAAGAATACTGCTATTTTGACCCCATGTAGTGTTCGGAAACTATTTTGGGTACGTATGATGGAAAATGTGTATTTACAACTTTTGGGAAACAGTTATGTTATTTTTAACACTTCTCTCTCTGTGTTTCATTGTGTTTTCACAGGCCTGCAATAAAAATGGCTGGGAATAATCTGGTATTGCCAATTGTGCTGTGGGGCCGCAAAGCTCCGACACATTGCATTTCAACTCTGCTGTTGATGGATGACTTGGCCACTATCGTAACAGGGTGTCACGATGGTCAAATCTGCCTTTGGGACTTGACTCCAGAAATCGAGGTGATTCCTTAAAGCTGCTGGTGGCTTTTAGTCTTTTTAAGATTGTTTTTGGTCAGCTGGGTGTCTGACAGATGTGGAACCCCACCATGCTTAAGAGTATCCAAACCAAGCTCAGATTTCCATGCAGCCCACCTACACATGGAAATCCCAGAGAGAGATTGTTGGAATGGAATGTGCGCTCTCTCTCTGGAGGGACACATCCTGCTTACCTAATTCCGGAAAGTATTAGGGGCAGGTTGGCAAGAGCCAAGGCTTGGGGACCCCACCACAAGCTGCAGGTCATTCAGAACTCTGCAGCTCGTGTACTGTCCCGCACCAGGCTTCGCGATTACATCACTCCCACCCTCGCTCGCCTCCACTGGCTCCCCATCCCCCAGAGGATCGAATTCAAGATCCTCACCCTCACCTACAAGGCCATTCACGGCCTCGCTCCCTCCTACTTCTCCGACCTACTATCCCCCTACCTACCCGCCCGTACCCTCCGTTCCTCTGGCTCCGGTCTGCTCCACATCCCCCGCCACAACCGCCCTACTATCGGTGGCCGGGCCTTCAGCCTCTCAGCCCCTCGGCTCTGGAACTCTATCCCCCAGTGCCTTCGCCGCTTCCTCCCTTTCCTCCTTCAAGGCCGGTCTCAAAACCTTTCTCTTTGACCGAGCCTTCAGCTCCCCTCTCGACTCTCTTCCCCCTCCTCGCTCCCTCCCTTCCCTCCCCTCACCCTGATCATTTCCCCCCTGCTCAGGTCCTGACCCAACTGTACAGCGCCTTGGGACATCCTCTCGACATGAAAGGCGCTCAATAAATGGAATCTTGTTGTTGTTGTTGTTGTTGATGGGGGTAACTACTGGTGTCTAACCAGATAAAACTGCATAGCTTGCCATTGATATTTATGCTCTTTGCATCATAAATTATTTTTGTTATATCACAGCAATATTGCAGTTAAAAACATCGAATGTTATTCCCCAAGTTGACCCCACGAATCTCCTGTTTGTCAGTATAAAACAGCCACACAGACAGACCTAGAAGGTCTCTAGTGTATGTTGAGTTTAGCTCAAGCAGAACAGACCAACAAGGAAAACATTTCAATATGATTAGACACTATATTAAATGCAATGTGTTTCATGATAACTCTGGCCCCATTTAAGAATGATGTTAGGACAGTAGGAAGGATGAGTTTGATTGGCCTTATTTACCTGAATCTCAAAAATACCAGAAGGTGATGAATAAATGTGTTTATTTATTTCATGTTTTGATTTTATTAGAATGTTTCTGACACAGTGTAAAACAGGGTGTGTGTGGGAAGGGGGAATATCATGACAGTTTGGGTGAACAAAAAGCTCTTCAGCTGATTTTATCTTGTCCCGGAATACCAACGCTACTAACTTCTCATTATAGCATCAATCTGTTTCTTAAATGTATTCAATGCCCTCACTTCTACAACTCTGCTTTGCCAGCTGTTGATTTACTCCTGCAAAAAAATACTTCCTGGTGTCTGTCCAAAGCTTGTCCTTCACACCTTAACTTGTGTCGCCTTTTCTTACTGCCTTGGTATATCTCAAGTTTTTTTTTAGATTTATTTTCTCCGATTAAGCGCCCACACGCTCGCCTGTGATGTATCTTTTCACCTCTGATGTCTCTAGTTTATCAAGTCATCTCACGTAGCTCATTCCTCTAACACTCAGTTTGCTACTTGAACAATTTCTACAGGTCTGTAGGGTTGAGTCTAATGACTAGCTAATCGGTGAGGAAGAAAAGGCAGAGTGCATTTTCTTGTTCTGAACTCACAAAACCTCCAGAGTACGTTAAATTTACCATACAGCAATGAAAAATGGATATTATTAGCTTGGACAAAGGCCAAGGACAAGTCTGATTTAAATCACTTCTTCAAGGTAACCAAATGCGTTACCCCCCAAAATAATACCCAATTGTTGATACAAAAACAGAGAGAGCTGGGAAAATTCAGCAGGTCAGGCAGCATCTATGGGGAAAGGAAAGTGAGTCAACGTATCGGTTCCACAACTCTTTGTCGTGGATCCGAAACATTGACTCACTTTCCTTTCTCCATAGATGCTGCCTGATCTGCTGAGTTTTCCCAGCTCTCTCTGTTTTTATTTCAGATTTCCAGCATCTGCATTATTTTGTGTTTTGTACCTAATTGTTGATGGTGGGTTTGTCACCGAAACCTTTGCCAAAAATAATGTATTTTATTAACTGCTGTTAATACCCAGTCATGACCATGGGATACTGCTGTACACAATTGGCTGCCTTGTTTCGCCCACAAAATACACAGTCAATTCACTTTACAGTATATTCTGTGAAGTGCTTTGAGACGTCTCAATGATGTGATAAGTTGCTATGTCAAAAGCAAGGATTATTATTGTGGAATTTATACATTAACTTCTTTGTATTCAATTGTTTTTCCATTTAGATCCTTCCCAGGGCTTTACTGTTTGGCCACACGGCATCTATCACTTGCCTTTCTAAAGCCAGTGCCACCAGTGACAAACAGTATGTTGTCAGTGCATCGGAAAGCGGGTGAGTAAGAGGAACAGTGGTTATAGCAAAACTGATTTGAGGGGAAGTCTAGGGAGAGTCCTTGTTCAATAACTCCCCATTTCTTCAAAGAAAGTAATGCCTTCAAAGGCCTGAAGGTACATGTAGGAGTCTGAACCTGTGAAAACATTTTGCTTTAAAATTTTAGGTACTGCAAATTCTTGAATTTCACTGTTCATTTCAATTCCATTTTGTGGACTACTGGAGCGTATTGGTTAGAGCACTCAGCTCACAAACTAGAGGACCCAGGTTCTATTCCTGCAGGGTGGAACCTTAGATAGTTTCCTTACTCCATACAGCTGTTTACCTAGCACTAAGTAGAAACCCAGTTATTAGTCGATTGTTAGTTGCTTTCTGGGGTTAATAATCCATTAAAAAAATTATAATAATAATGTGATCACTCAATCGGCGACTGTTTGTGGGACCCTGCTGTGCGCAATTGACTGAGTTGAAAGAAAAGAATATGCCCGTATCCTAACCAGTATTGGGATCGAGTCTGTCCCTGTCAGGGCTGCCCTGGTGATCTCGCTGACCGAGTTGGGGAGTGTTCCCATGCCAGAGTCGTCATAGAGGATAGCAGTGACGTGACTGCTGAATGTCTACCTTTGCAACTTTAAAAAAAATTGTTGTGGATCCACTTCATTCCTTTGCCTTGCTCCCATCCTGCTCATCTCTAAAACCCATCTTAAGACGTATCTTCCCAACAGTGGCTTTCAGGCACCTTTTTCCTCCCCAACCCCGCCACCACGGGTGCCCAGTTGGCTCTGTCAAGTGCTTTGAGACATTGTCCTGATGTGAAAAGCGCTGTATAAATGTATAATTTATAAATGTATAATGCAATTATCTGTTACATTTTACTTTGTTGGTATATTGGTTCTGTGTCACCCTTGATCTTTTTCACACTAAACATGTGAAATCTATTTTTACCAAATCAGTGATTTTCTGTGAAGTTTTGTATTATAAACTAATATACAAATTCTTGCAGAGAGATGTGCCTTTGGGATGTGAATGATGGTCGATGCATTGAATTCGCTAAACTGGCGTGCACACATACTGGCATACAAGTGAGTACGAGAGAATCTCTGGTAAATAAGTTATTAGAAAATGAATTAAAAACAGTTTTTTTGATAAGTTGCAACTTTGATGCCCTGGGCTATGGATTTATGACACAGTGGGACAATAAGGGCTCGATTTGTGATTGAGATAGCAAGCATGATATTGAGATGTGAAAGGACTTGATCAAGGGTTGAGACTTCCTCTGCCTCCAGTGTGCAGAGTGACCATGCGGACAACCGCTGGGACTCCTGCCTGTAAATTCCCTATCCTTCCCACCCCTGCAATTCCACCTTGCTCATGCGTCTATTCATTGTAACACTTGATTGGAGTTACTGAACACTCCATTATCATTGCTGTAATATGATTCTTACTCATATTTATTAATGCACAATAAGCTTAAAATAAGGTAAGGTTTATAAAGTAAACATGGAGGTTCCTCTTTTATTTAATATCTGGTTAAAGCTCAGCTTACTGTCAATGGCAGCTTTAAGCGAGTAGATAAATATCAAGAAAAATAACTTGTTTCTATTTTGTATGCTTATGTTTTCAGAAGAAGTTTAAAATATCTACACAAAAAAATGTGGGACATTGCTGTGCGCAATTTGCTGTCACCTTTCGACGCCAAAATACATAGTCAATCCACTTTACAGTATATTCTGTGAAGCTTTGAGTCATCTCAAAGTGATAAGGCGTTATATCAAATACAAAGATTATTATCATTAGAATGTATGTTTTTGCAGCACTCTTCACGTAGGTTAGCATCTCAGAGCACTTATAAAAGAAATCTAGCTTAATGTAATCAGAGGATTGAGGAGACAAAATTGAAGGAAGAGAAAGTTACTTTCAGTTGCTTATTATCCTGTATTTCTTTTACAAATCAGTTCTATCAGTTCAGCAATGGCACTCAGAGGGAAGGAAGACTTCTGTGTTATGGACATTACCCCGAAATCCTTGTGGTAGACGCTACAAGCCTTGAAGTCCTGTACTCATTGGTTTCCAAAATTGCCCCCGATTGGATCAGCTCAATGAGTATTATTCGCTCACCAAGGACACAAGGTGAGGAATTAATAATTGCAGAGACGGGATTCATATAGTTCAGTGCCTCAAAATGTATTGAACCATTTTTTTTTCTTTTAACACCTGGAGAAGTGGAAATATTTTTATCTGCTGTGCACAGATTTTTGAGTTGAGCCACGCTGCTTCAAGTTTCTTTTGGTGTTCCACCTGATAGCTAGTTTCCTCTCTTTTTGACAACCATTTCTTCCCCCTCAATTGTTCAGTCTCCACGTAAGTGAGAACCCAAATCATTCATGGAGAAATGTTAGCTTGGTGCTCCGTTGCTTTGAGAAACAAAAGTTTTCCTTTTTGCGATTTTATTTTATTTAGGTGATCGTTTCAACCTTGTCAGTATTGTGTAAATAATGGGAAATACAACAACAACACAACTCGCTTCCATTTAGCACCCTTCATACAGGGTAGCGTCTCAGAGCGCTTGACAAATGCAGAGCTAACAAGTTTGAAAACAGTACTTGGAAACAACAGAAGGATGACCTACAGCCCTCCAAGCCTATTCTGTTAAGCGCTCTGAGGTGCTACAGTAGGGTGGGTGTTCTGGAGGGATAAGATCAGATGGGCTAAAAGGCCTACTTCATCCAGACTGATTTTATAATTTTGTAATCTTGCATATGTAACATTTGCACAATAAGTACGTTGCTGTGCTTTGTTCTCAGAAGACACAGTGGTAGCAGTTTCATTGACTGGAATTTTGAAGGTCTGGATTATTACCGCTGAGATCAATCGACTGCAGGTATGATATCAGCAGTTAGATAATCTAGTGATAATTATTGTATTGAAATAACCCTGGTAATGTCAGTGTCTGAGATAATTGAGTTAAGTCACCATCCATGGATGCATTCTGTACATAACTTTGGCATCTTGTTTACCCTCAATTGTCCTTTCTACCCCACATCGAACAACAATTCCATTTATATAGCGCCTTTCACGTGGAGTAGCATTCTGGAGCACTTGAAATGACCCGTTCCATGACCTGTTCTGCCTTCCCCCACCTCCTCAACATCACCCAGCTCTGCCACTGCCCCTCCCCTCAGACCACCGAAAACTCATCAATGCATTCATTACATCTAGGGTCAACCCTGTCAACCCCACCGCCTGGCTCCACTGGCTCCCGAGAGGATCAAAATCCTTGAACTCGCCTTCAAGTCCCAACACGGACTTGCTCTTTCCTACTACCTCTGTGACTTGCTAACACCATATCAACCTCTCCACTCGGCAGCTCTGGCCTGCTCCACATCCATCAGCCTCTCTGACAGCTGTTTTTAGGGGCGTGGATGCCAGTTGACATTCCCTTCGCCTTGCAGTCTCCTTTAATGCACGTCTCAAGACCCCTCTCTTTGACCGTGCTGACAGTCACCTTCCTACCCAGCCATGCCTTCCACCCCCCCACCCCCGCTCGGGTCCAAATCCTTGACTGTCCAGCGCTTTGGGATGTCATCTTAACGTGAAAGGCTCGATACAGATGGAATTTGCCGTTTTTGTTAATTATGTGAGCATGTTTTGTTAAGTATGAGAGATGAGTGGGCTACCAACAGAGTCAAGATAACACATTGTCACTTAGATGAAGTAACTTTGCAAATTCACTGAGGTCACAAGTTGTGCAGCGATGGTGATGTGATACTAATGTCGAAAATGTACCAATATGAACTTAATGCATGCCCAAGAGATTTTGAACACATCTTGATGACATTACAGCTTTAATCTGCAGCAGCCACTACCCTTCAAAGTAGCACATTCTGTGAAGTGCTTTTGATAGTTGCTATATCAAATACAATTATTGCTTATTTCACGTATTCAGCATTTTTTTCCTTACTAAAGTCAGATAAAATATTCAAATGGAATTCTAGGTTTTATATGTATGGTTATTGTATGTACAAGTAAGAAGGTAATATTAGGTTCGTGCAAGACATAAGTTAGGCTGCAGTTAGCAGCAGTCCGGTTTTGGGTATCTGAGTATATAGATAGCCCATCATAGCCATAGAGATAGTACAGTGGAGCTTCATTGTGGAGAGAGGAGGGATGGGTGTTTAAAAAGATGTGAAGCGATTTGAAAAACTAGAACTGTTTCCGCTGGAACAGCAAACAACAATAGCAACAAGATTACATTTGTATAGTGCCTTTCACGTTGGGAGGACGTCCCAAGGCGCTGGACAGAGTACAGCATTTCAGACTCAAGCTGGGGTTGGGGGAGTAAGGGGGGGAGGGGAAGGGAGGGGAGGCGAAGTGGGGTGGCCGATGGCATGGTTGAAGAGGAAGGTCTTGAGGCGGGACTTGAAGGAGGCTAAGGAGGGGGCGAGGCGGAGTGACTGGGGGATGGAATTTCAGAGATTGGGGGCAGAGTGGCTGAAGGCTCTCCCACCAATGGAGGGGGGGATGGGTCGGGGGACGTGGAGCAGACCATAGCCAGCTGGCAGAGGAAACGGGCGGGTTGGTAGGGGTTTAGGAGGTCGCAGAGGTAGGATGGGGCGAGGCCATGGAGGGCTTTGTATGTGAGGACCAGGATCTTGAACTGGATCCTCTGAAGGATAGGGAGCCAATGGAGTCGGGCGAGAGTGGGGGAGATGGGGTCACGGAGTTTGGTGCGGGAGAGGACACGGGCTGCAGAGTTCTGGATTATCTGCAGCCTGTGGAGGGAGGAGTTGGGAAGGCCAACAAGCAGAGCGTATGCATATTAGAGCCTGGAGGTGATGAAGGCATGAACAAGAGTTTCAGTGGCCTGAGGGGTGAGGCAGTGGCGGAGTTGGCGATGTTACGGAGGTGAGGGAAGGCAGAGCGGGTCATGGCTTGAATGTGGGGAAGAAAAGACAGTTGAGGGTCGAACAAGACACCTGACTGACTGACTTGGTGAGTTGTAGTGTGCAACCATGGAGGTTGATGCTGCCAGAGCCTGAGGCGCTGGCGCAAGCCAATCAGGAGGGCCTCAGTCTTGTTCACATTCAACTGTAGGAAGTTTGCCCTCATCCAGGACTTGATGCCCGACAGACAGTCTGTCAGGACAGCAGTGGTCCTGGAGTTGAGGGTGGAACAAAGATTCAAGGAGAAATCTAATGGAGGTTTTCAAAGTTATGGGAGCGTTTTTTAATAGGGTAAATAAACCGTTTCCACTGGTTGTCCAGACTATAACAAGAGGACACAAATTACGGTCATCACTCGATAATGAAAGGAAGGTTTGAATTTTTGTTTGTAGAGTGGGAATTTAGAATGTGGAATACCTTACCTCAAATGTCTGTTGAAGCTGAGTTTAGAATAACATTTTGAAAAAAAATACAAGGCAAGTAGGTATCCGTCCGGCGTTATATAAATCCAAGTTGTTGTGTATGGGAGAGTGGAGAGCTCCTTTGGGAAAGTTAGCATCAGCATAGATAGAGCTAAATCGCATCCTTTTATGCTGTAAACTTCAGATATAACTTTCCTTCCTTCCTTATCTATCAAAAGCTTGCTTATGTGGAGTGTGAAGACTGTTTTATCAGCTTATTTTTGATTTTCAGGACATTGAGCCGTTATTTGAAGAGGAATCCAAACCTATCTACTGTCTGAACTGCCAAAGCGTTTCATTCTGCACGTACACGCAACAGTCCCTGCTGGTAGTTTGCTCCAAATACTGGAGGGTAAGGACTTTTCAGTTCCCCAGCGTCTGGGTTTGATGGACAGATCAAACGATAAAATGTGAAGCCGAAACTGCTCTGTTCAAATCTTTTTACAGAAAAAAATAATAGTGATAAACATGACTGTGGTTACATTTTGTCCTGTGGGCCTTCCCTCCCTCATGTTTTGTTGCCTTGTACTCTTTCCCCCCCTCCTCCACTCCACACTTTCAAGATAAAGCTCAGAACATAGCTCTTTGAAAGTGGTTTCAATTTTCGCCTCCCCACCGTTAGCTCCCAACCACAGCTCTAGCTAGAATTGCCAAGAGCTTTGATGGCTTCCCGATGTGTATAAGTGTAGCTTGTGTTGTACAATGTTCTGTAGCCTACTATTGGAAGTTGAAATCTGGGCTTTTACTCCATGCTTGCAATGCAGCAGCCCCATAGAAATCTTAAATGTGCCTTGAGTTTACATTAACTAATTGGGGTACATTTTACTCCTTGTTAATGCTTAAATCACTCGGCCTTTTTAGCTGGAGTAGTTCTTTGGTTTGTTTTGATTCTTTACTACAGTATTTGGGTTTGGTAACAATGATAGTAACTGTGTTGTCACTGAGTTGTCCAGTATACACAAGGTTGGTCAGATCCTTATCTTCAATGCATTTGCATAGATAACTATGCTTTCTACCCCACATCCGTGCCATGATCCGCTCTGCCTTCTCCCACCTCCGCAACATCGCCTGGCCCCGCCACTTTCACACCGCAGGCTGCCGAAATCCTCATACACACATTCATAACATCCAGGCTTGACTAAGCAAACTCCTTGCTTGTCGGCCTTCCCAACTCCTCCATCCATAGGCTACAGATCATTCAGAACTCTGCAACCTGTGTCCTCCCGCACCAGGCTCTGCGACCCTATCACCCCCATCCTCACCCGATTCCACTGGCTTCCCATCACACAGAGGATACAGTTCAACATCCCGGTCATCATCTTCAAAGCTCTCCATGGCCTTGTTCCCCACTACCTCTGCGACCTCCTAATCCCCTACCAACTTGATTGCTCCCTCCGCTCAGCGGGCTCCAGCCTGCTCCACGTCCCCGCATTGCCCGCCCCAGCATTGGTGGGCGGGCCGTCAGTCACTCTGTACCCACCCGCTGGCACTCCATCCCGCAGTCCGTCTGCATCGCCCCCTCCCTTGCCTCCTTCAAGACCCATCTCAAAATCCTCCTCGTCGACCGCGCCTTTGATCACATTCCTTCCCCCCCCGCCGCCCTCCACCCTCCCCGATTACGACCCCCAGCTTGGGTCCGAAGCACTGACTGTCCAGAGCCTTGGGATGTACACCCGACGTGAAAGGTGCTATACAAATGTCATTTTGTTGTTGTTGTAAGGCTTCATAACAAGTTGTTTCATTTTATGATAGGTTTTAGACAGTGCTTGGCTGCCTGCCCACTTGCAAATAGTCGAGTGGTCGTTTATATAATAGTTCTGGTGCTTTCTGAATACTAGATTTCTGTCCACCAGGTTTTTGATGCAGGAGACTTTTCTTTGCTGTGTTCTGTACCCTGTGAGAGTGGGCAATCGTGGACTGGAGGTGACTTTGTGTCTGTTGACAAAGTGGTCATTTGGACAGAAGATGGGAGTAGCTTCATGTACCAGCTACCTTCCAGGTATTTATTGTGTGCACATCCCATATGTGGCTTCTGCAACCATTTGTTACATTTTTGACTCGTGACAAGAAAGTCACTACACTTGACAGTCAATGTAGACCACTTTCCCAGATGCATCAAGTGCTATAAAATGCAGTTTCTATATTCATCACGTTTCTTGTCTTTAGGATATCGGTGCAAAATAGCTGCTGCATGTACCTGTATTCGACTGGCTTTGGCCTCCTGCTTATCCCTTGTACCCTCTGTTAAACTATGGGTGTCTGCGCTTTTGACCACCACGCCCCAAAACTCTCGGACACTCTTCCTCTATCCCTCCACCTTGCCCCTTCCTTGTCCATCCTCAGAACGTGCCTACAGTCCTTCCTCTTTGACCGTCACCTCCCCTGGCATTGAATCGTGCCCTGCCACTGTCAAGCGCTCTGGGACGCTACCCCGCATGAGCGGCGCTATACAAATGCAAATTGTTGTTCACTTAAATTTTAGATTAGTCTATTTTATAAAGCCTTTGGAGAATTTTTTATTGTGAAATATGCTGTACAGATGTGAGCTGTGATGCATTGAATGTTAATAATAATCCTTGCATTTGATAGTGTCTTATCAAGTTGTTTAGATGTCTCAAGGCGCTTTAAAGAACGTACTGTAAAGTGAATTAATGGTATATTTTATGGGCGAAACGCGGCAGTCAATTGCTCTGATTTGCATTTGAACGTTTGCTTTTATTTTCACAGTTGTTTGCCAGCCAGCGAATCATTCCGCAGCGATGTTGGCAAAGCTATCGAGAACTCCATCCCGCCTTTGTTGTTTAATGTGCTGGATCGGAAAGATAAATCGGTAAGCAGTAATTTGGTTTGTGGTCTTTTGGATACCAGGTGTAAATTGAGATGCACCTTCTGGAATTGATGCTCTTAAGTAGGGATGTAGGGAAATGAGTGCTTTATGTTCTTTTGCTGACAGCATTTCAAAAGGTGATATTTCCGTTTTAACTATAAGTGAGCACAGTGTGGCTTTCCTGATGCGGAGATGGCTTCTTATTGCAACTGTACACATTGACCAGCAGATGGGGGCATGGTATCAGTTGGCGTTTTTGCTATTGCGAAGCAGGTCTCATTTCAAGACGTATTGTGCCTAACCTCAAACCTTGAATTGTTGAGAAATCTTGAAATACTAACGGCGATTAGCTTCTTGTTTAGAGACAGACACCCATTAGCATTCCAAATACTACAGCTTGCATTTATATAGAGGCTTTCACCTGAAAACATTGTTAAGCCTTTGAAAGATCTTAAAGACAAGATGAGGACGCAGGTTCAGTGTGATGAAGGGTAATTTTAGGATGGACACCATCCTAAAACATTTCTTTATGCAGCGTAATTACAGCCGGAACAGTCAGTAAGGCCAGGTGTTAAGGACTAGATTGATATTACAATGGGAAGATAGTTGACTGGAGTATTATGGAAGGAGATGAAACTGGCTGGAACTTCATCTGTACCACTATTATGATCTTGTGGCAATAGTTCAGATGAAACACTTGTAATTTCCAGTATTATCTGTACTTCTGGATTATATTACTACTTTACCGGTGTCCTTGACTTTATAATCCTGTTCACCTTGCTCTGATAATGTTCTGTTTGAAAAATGCTTATGATATCCTTTTACACCAATCCTCGTTCGGTGTGGTGGGGCCAGGCTGGGAGAGCGGGAAGAGTGTGTAAAATTAGGGGATTCAAATTATTTTAAAAATTATTAAAATTAAATGATTCTTTTACTGCAGTGGAGACAGAATGTGTCAAAATTCAAGAGGTAATTTGATATCTGTTTGATGAACAACAAATCACACGAGGCATGAGTGATTATTTTAATAATAATAATCCTTGCATTTGATCCTCACCTTGTCACGTCATCAAAGTACTTCACAGAATATACTACATAAAGTGAATTGACTGCATTTTGTGGGTGAAATGCGGCAGCCAATTGCACACAGCAGTGTCCTACAAATAGATTCCTGGACGGAGCAAAACCTTAAGCAAATTTTCCTACACCATACATCTCTGTTTACATGGCAGTATGTAGGAACCCAGTATCTAGGATTGCTTTCCGAGGCTAATAATCCCTTGAAAAAAAATTGGTCACTCAATCCATAACTGTGGGACACTGCATTTCGCCCACAAAATACAGTCAATCCATTTTACAGTGCATTCTGTGAAGCACGTTGAGACGTCTGAACGTGTGGTATGGTGCTAAAACAAATGCAAGTATTATTTAAAATGCAATTTATCATCCTAGAAAATTGTATTGTCATGTTCACGCATGGATAAATGACCATTGTGTTATTTGCCAATGCAGTATAGGATAACAGTAATGATTTTGTACGCTTGACATTTTTCAAGCAACGTCACCATTTTTTGGTTAAGCAATCTGGAGTCATGATTTTAAAAAAAAAAGATAACAAAAGAACAATAATCTGGGCAGATTCCGGGAAGAACTGGCCTATTTTCAAGTTATTTTTTTCCCAGAACATTTCACCGCAAGAGTGGATCTGTTTCACTCACTGTTGAGGGGGGTGCTCCTGTTATCGTAATATAAAACGGGCTGTGTAATCACTGTGGGTTTTTGTTTTAAAGGCAGAGCAATGATATTGTGGTCCTTCCCTGGAGGATATTTACCCTTGCATCAGGCTGGGATGAGCAAAGGGGGTGGGAGATGATAATAATTTAAGCAAAAATAGCTTTTCGAAGGAGTAGATAGTTTCAGTTTTTTGAATGTTGCTCTGAGTGAAAACTGGTAGCAATATATCATCTCTATTGCTACCGGTTTGGTTTCATAAATGGCTCAGATTATAGCACTTTAATGTCCAGCACGGAAGGCTACAAGCTTAAGCCTCACCTCCAATCTCCTCTCTTTCCAACCCCTGGTCAGAAACTGAATTTAGCGTTAGGGTTAGCATTCCACTGGGGATGGTACACTCAAACCAGTTTGTGGGACCTTTCTGTGTTGAGTATAGCCAATTTTAACCTATAAATACAGTCACCGCACAGGAAAACCATATGATAATGCTTGCATTTGACATAGTGACTTGCCACGTCGTAATGCTTCTAAGGGCTCCACGTTTTTTTCCTGCAAAGTGCAGTGACTGTATTTTGTAGGTGAATGCAGCAGCCATTTTACACAGATCAATGTCCCATAAACAGCTGTGAAGTGAATAACCAATTTGTGGGGGATTGTTGCCAGGACACTGGCAGAAAGTCCCTTTTGTTGAAGAGTGCCATGGGATCTTAAATGTCCACCTGATCTAGAGGATCGGACCTCAGTTAAAATCTCAACCGAAAGATAGCACCTAGAGAAATATAGCGTTTCTCTAGAACTATATAGGAATGTCACCCTATATAAAAGGTGCTGATATAAATGCCATTTGTGTTTCTTGTGGCCTGTATATTATAATGAAGCCAATGGGTGTGCAAATATGGGACCAGAAGGTGAATTAATTCTGACACAGTTCTGCCAGGTTACAAAGTGTGATTGCAGGAACATGTCTTTAACAAGCATAGACATCACCATTCACGCTAAAAGAAATGTAATACCGCATGTAGCTATCAAAATGCTGGTCAACAAAAACTGTGCTCCTGTTTCAAATGTTTACCAGCCAGTATTGTGGGGGGAGAGGGATACGCATTGAAAAATGTTCCCCAACAGAAAGAGTGAGTTAATTTGCCATCTGAGTGATTGTGTGTGTGTGTACTAGAGAGTACCTTTGTGTCCTAAGTTATTTTGCACGAAGGAAAGAACTGATTTCAAATTGTGTAGTTTGTGATTGATGACAGTTGTAACCTTTCTCCCCTCCTCCACGTTTAACACTTTAGATGTAGAAATTCTGTTCCAGCCTTCGATGTTTCTTTATACACATCACTAGTCCCGCCCTATTACGTTTTGCCCAGTTGTAATGTCACGAATGTAATAACTTACAATGATATCCAAGTCGTAAATAAATGTGCGAATCAATGATTACTATTAAGACACTGTGTAGTTTTTTAACATTTTCTTTGCCAGATTGTTATCCATTTATGCATGTGTGTGATTGATCCAGATTATTGTTGTTAAAGCCATTGCTGTCATATGATTTGCCTATTAATTCTCATTTGAACTTTTTTTTTCTTTTTTGCTCTATTCCCTCTTCCTTCTTCCACCGTTTATTTTTTATCCTTTAGCAGAGAGACCAGAATGCAGAGGTTGGGTATGTGGGAGAGGCAGTAGTCCACATACCTCACGAGCATTACCCTGACCCTGCAAAAGCCTGGGAGCTCTACAGTCCTCATCTGATATCTTGCACTCAGCCTCTCGAGGCACCAGTAAGAATCATCAACCATTCTCTCTCTCCCTCTGTGTTTATGTGTGTGTGTCTGCATCTATCCATGTGGTATTTAGTGCCTGTAATACCAACAAAATAGATGGTCTGATAATGCACCAGAATAGTGGCTTGCTTTCAATTGCTTTGCATTTGACACAAAGTGGTTCATGTAGTAAGTCTGTAGTTCTTTGGAAAGTGGGGGAGGAAACTTAACAAGCAAATCTTCTAACCTGTGTTAGAACATCTGATCAAATTCAAAAACATTTCTGATTCTTCTTTTAACACTCCACAGAAATAAGGCAGGAATTAGTGCTATTAAATTGCACGACTTGTTTGTGTGCTGGTTTACCTAGCAGAGCGTGTTTAGATGTAACTTTGTAAGCTGAGCCAATCAGTTACTACTGAGTCAGGTATTCTCTTGATAGCTTGATTTGCTTGAATTAATGTATAGCATGTCTGATCATTTATTTTCTAATTTTGTCCCTATCGTTATATACCTCTGCTCCTGGTCCCCAGCCTTCTCATGCTGGGGTGACGTTCCACAGGCTCCATTTGCCCTCCGGCACCTGTTCAAATGACTGCTATTCATGTGTGAACCTTAGCAGTGTGTGTGGGCAGGCACTCGATGGTAGAGGACGTGATAGATAAGCCTGCCCTCTCCTCATTTGGTAGGCAAGGGATCAGCAGGAACTGTGGTTAATTCCTCCCTCACCCTTTCCTTCCCTTAACCCTTAGAAGACTGGAACCAATTTAGCCTCCCCATCTTTGGATGCTTTTCAACCACAACTTCAAGGTTCAATATACAATGATTCCAATTCCCACAAGGACGTCAATCAGAGTACACAAACTCCTGTTGATTCAGATTTCACTTGAATGCTAATGTGCACAAAAGTTGTCCGTTTATCAGTTTTTAGACCGAAAATAATTATTGGTACGTTCTGTTATGGCAAAAAACAGTTGCGCATCAATTGTTCGCACTGTTATGGTGCTAAGCTGGAGTGTGTCTTTGAGCTATCCAATAGGTTTAAATATCTGTTTGTAACTGGTTGGCACAGTCCCCTAATATATTTCAGGGCTGCATGGATTTACATTACTATTTCTGTCAATGGTTAAATACTTTTACGGCACTATTCTGCACAGTCCTCTGCTTATGCTCTGATACAGCTTTGCTAATGTATAATTTTTATTTGGGGGTGTGGTTAGTTTCCTTGGATATATAATGTGTTTGTAGACTTGCAATTCACAATTCCTAATAATAATAATCCTTGCATTTGACATAGCGCCTTATCACGTTGTTGAGACATCTCAAAGCGCTTCACCGAATATATTGTAAAGCGGATTGAATGCATATTTTGTGGGCAAAACGAATCACAAGTCCTCACTACTGTTTCCATATGGAAATATCGAGCTAGAGACTTTTATGCCTCAATCCCTCCACCTTGCTTGTCTTCAGATTGCACCTGAAGACTTCATTCTACGACCGTGCCTAATGTCACCTCCGCTCTCTCCCGGCTCAAACAATGCCATTCTTGAGACACTACCCAATGTGAAGAGCACTATATAGATTCAAGTTGTTGTTTGTATTTTAACTTGTCACCAACCAAATTTCTGGGCCAGTGCAATTGCCAGCTGAAAGGAAGTGAATGGATCGAGGGAATTTGTTGCTTAAATAATTCCAGTAATTGGTTGCTGGTTTGACAGCCAATCTGTACCTTGTAAATTCAAGTCTCTGGAGCATTCCTGTCAGCGGCATCAAGATCGAGTGAAATTCTTTACAACATTCGAAGCCTTCAATAATCAGGCAGTTTCTTCTTTGGGCTCTTTCTTTCCTCTTCCCCCCCCCCACCACCACCACCACATACACATACAAGCACAGTACTGGTAATAATTCTTGCATTTGATGCAGCGCCTTTCACAGTTGGGAACACGTCTCAAAGCATTTATTGTAAAGTGTAGAGACTATATTTTACAGGCAGAACAAATCAAACCAGCCTGTTAAATACAGTCGAGTGAAACTAGTAATTGCTGAGAGGCCATGACAATCCCTTTTTATAGTCAAAATGATTTAAATAAAAAATGATCTAATTTGATTCTTTCGAAAACAAATTAGATAGATTTCTGTTCAGAAATAATATCTCGGGGTACACTATATAGTTTGAGACACGTAATGTTATACAGTTGCCAGGATGGTGGAAGGCAAACTGGATGGACCTTGGTCTTCTTTTGCCTAGCAAATTCTTAACTGAAATTCAGCTCTCATTCTAGGGTGACCATCACCCCGATTAAAGGTTGCACAAGATAATTTGGTACAGATTATGGTCCAAAAAATAATGTAGGCCCATCCTGACAATTGCAACATTGGAACCGAACCAAATGTAGAGCTTTTCTAGCTCGTCCTTTTGTCCTTGACTTGTTGTTCACCTGCATGTCCCTGCATTCTCAATTGCAATTGCTTGCTTGTTCTGCTTTTGTGGGGGGTGGGGGGGTGGGTGGTGAAGAGAGGGGGAGGGCAAGAGCTAAATAGAATTTTCTGGAAGAAATCACATGCTAGATTCTAAATTTGGGATTGTTTTTCTTGCAGGACGTTTTTAGACGAACCGTTTAAGTGAATGTAAAATTGCTGATGTGTATTGACTGCGGCGTATAAAATTTCCAGCTGTGAAATGCTTATTGTGCAGTAGATGGGGTGGATACTTATAGTGCTATCATGCCCCAGTGAAACAGCCTCGCTGGCATCTCACAGGGCATTTTAGAACTGTGTGGATGGAGCTTTGCACAGTAAGCGCTTTGAGACATTTCGAAGATGTGATAAGGCGGTATATCAAATGCAAGGATTATTTTTTGTATTATTAAATTAGCAGAAGTGCTGACATTAGAATCATAGAATCTTACAGCAGAGAAGAAGGCCATTTGACCATCCCGTTGTGTCTGTGCTGGTCTTCAAAAGAGCAATCCAACTATTCCTACTCCCCCGCTCTTACTCCATAGCCCTGCAAATGTTTCCTAATCAAGTACCTATCCAATTCCCTTTTGAAAACCACTATCGAATCTGCTTAAATTTAAATTTTCACAATCATAATAATTTTAGATTTCTCAAAATTGTTTGTTTGGGAAGGGAGGTACGGGTTCTCTTGGAAACCAGCTTGGAAAATGTGTCGTTCTACTCAAATCCCTTCACCCCATATTATCTTCCATACAAGTTGTTTTAAAGCCTGGCACAGTCCCGTTTCATCCACAATATACAGTCAATCCACTTTACAGTAAATCCTGTGAAGCGCTTTGAGACGTTTTGACGACGTGATAAGGCGCGATACCAAATGCAAGTATTATTATCATCACTAATAATCGGGAATATATTTAAGCATGTTTCAGTGGCTCCCAAAATATTGCTGCAAATACTGATTGCATCTGGGGGAGTGGCGCTGTCTCAGAAACAAATTGCTGAGTATTTGTTTCCTGTTCTATTAACACCCCTCCAGTAAAGAGTGCATCGTGCTTGGCGTCCGTTTTGATGTCAGTCACGTGTTGCTTCATGTCTAATGGGGTTTGGACGTCTGTCCGGCTTGTGTGTGGCTTCAACATTGCTGCCTCCCCTCTCCACTTTCCTGCACCTGGAGAGAGAGAGTGAGAGAGCACTGCAGCAATATGAAGAGGCAATGTTACCCAGGATAACTCTGCTAATGAAATTGTTACTTTAAGTGATAGAACTATGCAGTTGATCTCTCGGGGATTGAAGGCGGTGTTGGTGTTAAATCAAAGATTGACCTCTTTCACAGCACTGAGCCTCCCATTTGCGTTCTGACTATTGCAGTGCTATCTGTCTCTGCTTGGCGCTTGTATGCAGAAGAAAGGAGAGTGTGTGTGTGGAGTGAGGTCGAACTGGATCCTATTTAGCTGCATCTGAATATTTTATTGTGGCTTAAAAAGCGAAATGTAATACTTTGATCCGTGGAAGTTTCTCCACAAAACTGGCTGCTTGTCGACCTGTTTCCAGTATTAGCAAAAGGGTGGATGTCACTCAACACTCCTATACAGTCATGACAGGGTAAAACAGATTTAAAAAGATAATAATAATCCTTGCATTTGATATAGCGCCTTATCATGTCTTCGAGACGTCTCAAAGCACTTCACAGAATATACGGTAAAGTGAATTGACTGTATATTTTGTGGGTGAAACGTGGCAGCCAATTGCGCACAGCAGTGTCCCACAAACAATCTTGAATAGAGTAACCAAATTATTTTTAAAATTTATTTTGAAGGAATTATTACCCCCGGAAAAACGATGCTCCAATCGACTAACAGCTGGGTTCCTACTTACTGCCAGATAAACAGAGGCATGTGGAGTAAGGAAACTTGCCCAACGTTTCACCCTGCTGGGAATCAAACCCAGGTCCTCCTGTTTGCGAGGCGGGTGCTGTAACCATTAGGCTACACGACACCACAATGTTTAGTTTGAGGATAGTACTGTAAAAATACCCACTGTTCATCCAGAAGGGTTTATGTGCTCCTCTGTGCTTGCAGGGTTTTTTTAAAAATTTATAATAAGGTTGCTTAAAAGTGCTTCTATGGGTTGAAACATTAGTAGCTGTGCTGTAAGACTATTAATTGCTTTGCTGCTGCTTTCCAGTCTTGGCTGTTTGTAGAGAAGTTGCAGATTGCTTCTTTTGAAATCCAATTTTTGATTCTAAAAGATCATAGGGATTGTCGGTTATCATTGAAGAGCTGAGGAAATAGATTTATGTCTGTCCTGGATTTGCTAACTGCGTGGAAGCATTATTCCTTATTTACTTTGTCAAATCTCTTGATTATTTTAAGCACTTAACCTCATTTGTCTCAGATTTAGAGAATACAAACTAAATTTACTCAGCCTGTCGTTCTAAGCAAATCCCTTTACCCCAGGTGTCACCCTCATGATGTGATGTATTTTTTCCAATACTAGCACTGTATGTACTCCTGAGATTGGCCATCCAACACTGACTTAAACCTGCACTTCACCTCCTCCTGCTGCATCTCCTCAGACTTCTCCTCCCTGCTCTCCTCGCTCAACCTCTCCCTCCACAGCAACTCCCCCACTCACAGTCACGGCCATCCACTCGACTTGGTGATCACCCGGGGCCTCAGTGTCTCGGATGTCACTATCACCGACAAGACCATCTCTGATCACCACTTCATTTCCTTCACCACCTCTACCCACCTCCACCAGACCCACCACCATCTTCTACCGCCCCTGGAAGAAGCTAGCCCCACGATCCCTAACCGCTGCTTTGGAGTCCTCTGAACTCCTCTCCCTCTGGCCTTCAACCCTCACTGACCCCTCTTCTCCTCTCACCCTCCTCCACAACACCCTCTCCTTCACACTTGACACTCTTGCCCACATCACCTCCCGTACTATCTCCTACTCTCGCTCCTCCCCCTGGTTCACCACCCACCTCCGCTCACTGAAGAGCCAGGTGCGGGCCGCTGAATGCACCTGCGTCAAATCTGGCCTAACGGTCCACCGACAAATCTGGCTGGACCTCCTCAAAATCTACCGCTCCACTCTAGCCTCGGCCAAGTCGTCCTTCTACTCCAGGATAATCCTGGAGGCGAAGAACAACCCCAGGCTACTGTTTTCTACCACATCCCAACTCCTCCGTCCCCCCCGCCACCCCGCGCAGGTCATCTCCTCCAACCTTCACTGCGAGGAGATGCTGGATTTCCTTGAATCCAAAATCAAGGGAATTCGCTCCGCGGTCACTTCCCCTCCAACATCCACCCACCCCCACCCCTTCCCTCCCACACTCCGACTCCTACCCATCCTCCCTTACACACTTTCGTACCCGTTTCCCCACCCTCTGTCACCAAACTCATCCTATCCCTGAAACCCACCACCTGCTCCCTTGACCCCATCCCCACTCCACTCCTTATCTCCCAGCTCCACCTCCTTGCCCCACATATCACTGACATCATCAACCTGTCCCTCTCCTCTGGCTCTGTTCCCATTCCCTTAAAAACTGTCACCATCACTCCCACCTTGGAAAAACCCTCCCTTGATGCGTCGCAGCTATCAAGCTACCGGCCCATCTCCAACCTCCCCTTCCTGTCCAAGTTCCTTGAACGAGTTGTCGCCTTCCAGCTGCGCTCTTTCCTCTCCACCTATTCATTATTCGAACCCCTTCAGTCGGGTTTCCGTGCTGCCCATAGCACAGAAACTGCCCTGGTCAAGGTCACCAATGACATCCTGACCATCTGCGACCAGGGCTCCCTCTGCCTCCTCGTCCTCCTCGACCTATCGGCAGCGTTCGATACAGTCGACCACGCTATCCTCCTCCACCGCTTGTCTTCCCACCTCAACCTTCAAGGCTCTGTCCTTGAGTGGTTTAGTTCGTACCTCTCCCACCGTCTTCAAGTTGTTTCCACGAACGGCTTTTCCTCCACCCCCCGCACTGTCTCGTGCGGTGTCCCTCAGGGCTCTGTCCTCGGTCCCCTCCTCTTCACCCTCTATATGCTCCCCCTGTGGTGACATCATCCGCAGACATGGGGTTAACTTCCACATGTATGCGGATGACACCCAACTCTACCTTTCCTCCTTTACCCTCAACTCCACGACCCCCGATGTCCTGACAGCTGCCTGTCCGACATCGAGTCCTGGACGAGAGACAACTTTCTTCAGCTCAACGTGCGAAAAACCGAGGCCCTCCTGATTGGCTCACGTCAGCGCCTCCGCACCTCAGGCGCTGACACCATCAGCATCCAAGGCTGCACTCTCCACCTCTCAAAGCCATCAGGAACCTCGGGGTTCTGTTCGACCCTGAGCTGTCCTTTCTTCCTCATATCCGTGCCACAATTGGCACCGCCTTCCATCACCTCCGGAATATCGCCAGACTACGGCACTACCTCACCCCTCACGCTGCTGAAACTCTGGTCCACGCCTTTATCACCTCAAGGCTGGACTATGGGAACACTCTCCTCGCCGGCCTTCCCGGCACCTCTGCATTCAGAACTCTGCAGCTCGTGTACTGTCCCGCACCAGGCTTCGGGACCACATCACTCCCACCCTCGCTCGCCTCCACTGGCTCCCCATCCCCCAGAGGATCAAATTCAAGATCCTCATCCTCACCTACAAGGCCATCCACGGCCTTGCTCCCTCCTCCCTCTCTGACCTACTATCCCCCTACTTACCTGCCCGTACCCTCCGTTCCTCTGGCTCTGATCCACATCCCCCGCCCTAACCGCCCTACTATCGGTGGCCGGGCCTTCAGCCTCTCAGCCCCGAGGCTCTGGAACTCTATCCCCCAGTGCCTTCGCCTCCCTTTCCTCCTTCAAGGCCGGTCTCAAGACCTTTCTCTTTGACCGTGCATTCAGCTCCCCTCTCGACTCTACCCCCTCCTCGCTCCCTCCCTTCCATCACATCACCCTGACCATTTCACAACTGCTCGGGTCCCCACCCAACTGTACAGCGCCTTGGGACGTCCTCCCGACGTGAAAGACGCTCTATAAATGGAATCTTGTTGTTGTTGTTGTACTCCAAGATTAACCAGGATTCTACAGTTGATCCAGTACTTCCTGACGTATAAACCTCCTTCTCGTAATGGTCAGCATCCTTTCAGCCTTGAATGTAGTATAGTTTATTTGATATTAATTGATAGTGGAAATCTGGATCTCTCGCCCTCAAAGGCTGTGGATACTGGATCCAATCAAATTTTCAAGACTGAGACGGATGGATTTTTATTAGGTAAAGGGATCAAGGGATATTTGGAGTTGAGATACAGATCAACCATGATCTAATAGAATGGCGTAACAGGCTCGAGGGGCTGAATAACCTACTCCTGTTCCTATATATATATAAATATGTTGCTATGAATGCTTTGTGCACCTGCAAACTCGCTTTTAATAACTTAACTCCTTTGTTTACCTGCCCCCTATTCCCCCATCTTTCCCCATTTAGATTAGATTCCTATCAGATATTCATAATGATTTTTCTGTTTGCATTCTATGCTTGAGTTTAACATGCTTGTTAAATCTTAAGATGGTATGTTGAGTTAGATATTCAGAGTGGTGTTTGCATGTCTTCCATTTTGGTTGCATTTTGCCTGCTTTTAAAATTGGGGCTAATTGTAGCATTTGTTGAAGTTCGAGGTGACTCTGGCAGAAAAGTAATAATTTCTGTTACCATCAGTCCATCTCATCCAAATTCCCAGAAGATTCCCTCAATGTATCTTGGTTAATCAATGGAACAGGCTCCTTAGGGAGATGGTGGAAGCAGAGACTGTTGATTCCTTCAAATACAAATTGGATAGATTTCTTTTAGGAAACAATATTTTGGGATTTGGCATATGAGTTGTTCAGGACATGACATGTGCATGCGACTCCCATGATGGTGGAAGGTGAACAGGATGAACCTCGGTCTTCTTTCGTCCAGCACTATCTATGTATCTGGCCTGGAGAAACTTCTATTACTTGCTTCCCAGCTTTTTGTCCGCTTTCTGTAGACTGTTGTTGCTGTTATGTAGTTTTTTTTGCATTAAGTTGCGTAAACAGTTTACTCTGTACAGTTTGCTTTTGTAGAGCAATAACACTGAAGTTTTTTTTAACTAAATATCCAAAGCTGGCAGTATTGAATCTTATGCCCAGATCCGTCACATGTGCTTCACGAGATGCAGTTCTGCCGCTGCCTGCCTGTGCAAATCTCTACGTACTATTGATTCTGCTTGAGCTGGGGTTTGAGCCTTGTGGTGGAGGTGGAGTTCTGTGCGATGCGCTCACTGTCTTGGAACTAACGTTTCCCCTTTTGCGACGTTGCAGCTTCTCATCTGCTCACCTGTCACACGGTTCTTCTATGGCCGTAGAGAACCTTTCCACAAACTCCTGGTCCAGGGAGACTCATCAGGGAGGATCTCCATGTGGTCTATCCTCGATACCGCTGGCCTAACGGGGAGCGGTGACGTCAGAGGTAACATTTTACATTGCAATTCATGAACCGGAGAAGGTCGTTAGGTCCTTCGAACTTGTTTCACCACAGGTCAAACAATACAATAATAATCCTAGCATTTTGATATAGCATCTTATCACGTTTTCGAGACGTTAAAGCGCTTCACAGGATATACGGTAAAGTGAATTGACTGTATTTTTGTTGGTGAAATGCAGCAGCCAAATGCGCATAGCGGTGTCCCACAAACAGTCATGGATTGAGTGACCAATTTATTATTATTATTATAGTCTACAGTTTTACAGCACTTTTCACATTAGTAGGTTGACCCAAAGCACTTGATAATTCTGGCTGGCACTGAAGTTGAGGATAGGAACTTAGGGAAAAGGTGACCAAAAGCACAGTCAAGGATGTATGTTTTTAGGCTTACCTTGAAAGTGGGTGGGATGGAGGGAATGATTATCGTGCTTCTACACCCTATTAACTCTCCTAATTCCACTTTCCTTACTACTTGTCATAAATTGTGGAGTCCTGTAGCTCAGTGGTTAGAGGACTTGCCTCGCAAGTGAGAGACCTGGGTTCTATTCCCGGCAGGTCTCTGTTTACCTAGCAGTAAGTAGGAACCCGGTTGTTCGTCGATTGGTGGATCGCTTTTCCGGGGATAATAATCCCGCAAAAAAAATAACAATAATAAATTGGTCACCCAATCCACAACTGTTTGTAGGACATTGCTGTGCGCAATTGTCTCCTGCATTTTGTTTGCAAATATACAGTCAATTCACTTTCAGGGGTATTCTGTGAAGCACTTTGAGGCGTCTAGAAGGCGTGAAAGGTGTTATATCAAATGCAAGGAATATTATTATTTATCAATAGTAGTCTCCATCTTTTTTTTCATTCTCATACTTAACATATCTTTATGTTGCCATGTAAACAATGGTTTTATGCTGTGGCAATAGAGATTGCTGCTAATGTGCATATTGAAGACAAACCATTGTATTCCTCGAGGTAGGTAAGGCAGCATCTGAATCCACAGAGTGTCAGTGGGACTATGGAGACTTTTGACTCTAGATGCTGGCCAGAGGCTGAATGGAATGAAGGTTAATATAATGGGAGTCTTCTAAGAAAACACACTGACTGTATGTGATGTTTCGTTGTAATTCTCTACACAGTGATGGAAGTCACCACTTCTGCATGCCTGCAAGACGCATTTGACAAACTCAGTCCCAGGCCTGCTGGGATCATAGACCAGTTGAGTGTGCTTCCTGGCAATGAAGAACCATTGAAGGTGACGGCAAGTGTTTATATTCCCTCTCACGGACGTCTGGTGTGTGGCCGTGAAGATGGCAGCATTATTATTGTACCAGCCACTCAGACTGCCATCGTCCAATTACTCCAAGGGGAACATATGCTGCGACGAGGTAAAAAAACCTTCTCATTTCATGCTATTAAATATTTTTTCTCCCTTTCCTCTTCCCCACCCAATTCTCTCCTCTTGTAAATTTATATATATAATATACAGGAACATAATAACAGGATTAGGTCATTAAGCCCCTTAAGCTGTTGTGCCATTCTATTAAATCATGGCTGATCTGTACCTCAAATCCAATTACCTGTCTTTGCCCCATATCCCTTGACACCCTTTGAATGGATCCAGTATCAAATAATATATATTATATATGTGTGTATATATAGAATAGGTTGATTTGAATTGCTGGACCTTGCCATGTGAAATTGGGCTGCCTTCTTTGCCTATGCATATGTAGTCACTGTACTCGACAGCACTTCCTTGACCAGTGCTTTGAGACATTGTATGGCTATATCAAATGTAAGGGAGAAGGGAATAGAGAGGTAAAGGAGAAGGCAATGAGAGGGGTGGGGCTTTTGTAGAATATAAACAACAGCATGGACTACTTGGACTGACTGGCCTGTTTCTTTGACAAATCTATGTAATTCTATGTAAGTGTTTACTTTAAGCTATTTAATTGTAATAAGGTTGTGATCAGGATGACTTGATCTCTTGATTCTGCACTGGTCCAATAGTTGAACTACTATCAATCCCTTTTACATCCAACTTGCTTGTTTAATACTTGGCACAATTTATATTTTGTACAATTTATAATGTATTTGCCTTCCTCACCCCTCCCCTCATATATATATATAGAGATAAAACACACATAATAGTAAAAATTGATACTTGATACAATTTTGCCCACAAATACACAGTCACTCCACTTTGAGATATATTCTGTGAAGCGCTTTGAGACATCTTAATGATGGGATAAGGTGTTATATCAAATGCAAGAATTATTATTATTGTTGTTGTCCCACCCCTGTTCCAAGAGTCACTTGTGGCAATGTGCATTTGGTATGCGTCTGCTATTGAAGAACCCTATTGTGTATGGTGTGTATACAAGAGATGTAGCTTGAAGCAAATGAGAGGGCATTTCTCATGTAAAGGGGTGGTGTTTGATTGAAAACTATTTGGACATAATGTGTGTGCTTTTAGCCAATTAATTGTGCATGGTGGACTGCTAAACTGCACAATCTCGAATGGAAAACACTTTGGCACAGCTTTAGGGAGAATGTCTGTTATTAACTGAGTTCCAGCTCACTTGACCTGTACAAGTCATTGTTGCTGTGTGAGTGGGAATATATTGTCGCTGCAAGTCCTTCTTGAAATTAAAACGCGCCCTCACTTTGTGCGCTGGGTGCCAATTGGCAGAATCTTTGAATTTCATTACTGTAGTGGGACTCCTTCCCAAGCCATCCTCCTGTGTCCTGTGTTGTTTTATTAAATCGATCAATGTCAAGCAGCATGTAAACTCGTTGGAGGATTGTGATTAGAATGTAAAACCCGCTTGGTAAATTTTTGCAACCTGCCTGTTGTTAGTGACAGATTGTCATCGTAATTTATTGGTGTACTCGCTTCCAAAATTACCTACACATGAAGAAGAATTTAAAGCACTTGCATTTTTGTATCATCTTTTGTGTCAGCATCTAACTGTTCAGTGTTGGCCAGGAAACCGGGAGAGATTCCCTTCTCTTTTCAAGTCCTGACATGGGATCTTTAACATCCACCTGAACAGGCAGACAGGACCTAGTTTTCGTTAGATGTTTCATCTGAAGAAAGCAACTTCTGGCAATGCAGCGCACTCCCATCACAGCACTGGAGGGTCAGCCTAGATTACAAGCCCATAGTCCCAACCGTTTGTGGGAGTCTATGCTGCACGATATGGCTGCCGTGTTTGTCTATAGATACGTAGTCACCGCACTTGATCATACTTACAGTAAGCTCCCACAAACGGCCATGAGTGAAATAACCAAATTGTTTGGGGGATTGTGTCCCTTCTCCTTTCGTTTTTCAAATAGTGTTATGTGATCTTTAACATCCACCGAAAGGGTGGAACTGATTCCTGACTGTTCAGCGCATTGGAACGTCTATTTAACGTGAAAGAGCAATTGCTTGTAGCAATGTAATTTTGTTGTTGTTTAGTTTAAACTGAAGAATAAGCCTGACTTATACTCTTGTGTCAGCTTGTTTCAGTCATTAGCACTCTGAAGATTGTGTGTTCAAGGCCCACGTCTAAGTAATGTATGTTGTCATTATTAGGTCATAAATTCAACCACAGTGTGTGTCTGTTGTTTGAATTGAAGTGAATAAATGTGATAGGACTGTACGTGTAATTATAATAATAATCCTTGCATTTGATACAGCACTTATCACATCTCAAGACGTCTCAAAGCGCTTCACAGGATACACTGTAAAATGAATTGACTGTATATTTTCTGAGCGAAATGTTTAAACTATATTCAAACATTAAATGCTCTCTCATCAGGGTGGCCTCCTCACCGAACCCTTCGTGGCCATCGAAACAAAGTGACGTGCCTGCTGTACCCACATCAAGTCTCAGCACGTTACGACCAGCGCTGCCTGGTGTCGGGCGGAGTGGATTTCTCCGTCATTATCTGGGACATCCTGTCTGGGGAAATGAAGCACATCTTCTGCGTCCACGGCGGGGAGATCACTCAGCTCGTGGTTCCACCTGAAAACTGCAGCGTAAGTTCACCACATGCATCTTGTGCTGTTGGATGAGGGTGGTCAGAGGGTCTCCAATCTTCCCCTATCCCACTCCACCGCTCAGCTAACCCAGGTTTGGGTAAGAACATAAGAATTTGCTAGGCAGGCAAAAGAAGACCAAGGTCCATCCAGTTCATCATCCACCACTCTTGACATGTCGTGTCCCGAACTATATATTGTAATATTGTATCCTGAGATATTATTTTCTATCAAAAGTCTCCTGCCCTCTCCATGCCATCATCAGCGATTGGGTCTTCAGTTCCTTACCCCGAAAACTCAAAAACTCCCCCCCTCTCCCACTCCGACTCGTCCCATTTCCTCTGTCTCTGTCAGAACCAAACATTATGATCGTGCATATTGCCACCTTTCCACCTCATACCACTGCCCCCGCCCAAGATTTTACCTCATTGTTGGAGATAAATCATTTAAGGATAGGGGGTTGTCTCAACAAGGACACACAGTTTGACTCCTTCCTCGGGTAGAACTTCCCTAGAAGACTGCATAGACTTCAACTAAACAATTGCAGACTTTGCTGCAAAGAGCACAACTCGGCTTCCCTAAAGCCAAGATGTGGGCTACGGAAATTTATTTTAGTCCAAACCTGAGCAGGAAGGAACAGACCACATTGCAGAAGATGAATGAATTCATTAGGAATAGACAGCAGTTTATCCCAGCAATTCCAGAAAATACATTTAAAGTGGAGCCTAAACAAAATCCACTGGGACCAAGGACACAGTTAATGTCTCTAACCCTAACCCAGGTATTTAACCCAGTTTCCAGGTATTTAAACTAAAAAGCACAGGAGACTGAGAGAAGCGGGACCTGGAGCTGGTTACGAACATTTTAAATGGCTCCCAAGCTTTTAACCCACACCAGCACGGACTAGCTCCTGAACAAAGACCTGACATTCATCCCCACTAAAAACCACTGTCAAACTAGGACAGAACCTAAATGAACGCTGCCCCTGAACATTTAGCGCTCCAAGTCGCTACCCCACGTGAAGAGTGCTATACAAAAGTTGTTGTTAGATGATCTAGACAGCTATCTCCAACCCCAACTAAAAACCTAACATGAACAAAAAATCAAACGAGCAGATTCCTGCAATGTAAAAATTAGAGTAAGACAATACATTCATGAGTCCGAAGTAAATTTGACAAAACTCCAGCATGTGGAATGACCAAGATCACGACGTGTGTAAAACCACCCCCGAAATTTAAAAACCTTAACTGAATACTAGTGCCACGGCACCCGTTTCCCAATGAGAAAACTAAACCTGTGAATACATGACAAAGCCAAGCACCCGGGCTTGTTATTGTGGAGTCCTGTAGCTCAGTGGTTAGAGCACTCGCTTTGCAAGCGAGAGACCTGAGTTCAATTCCAGGCAGAGGGCGAAACCTTGGGCAACTTTCCTTACTCCACACACCTAATAATAATCCCTCCAAAACCAAAAACAATAATAAATTGGTCATTTTCAATCTACGACTGTTTGTGGGACATTGCTGTGCGCAATTGGCTGCCGCGTTCGCCCACAAATATACAGTCAATTCACTTTACAGTGTGTTCTGTGAAGTGCTTTGGGACGTCCTCCCGACGCTATATCAAATGCAAGGATTATTATTATTATTGTGGCATAAAATGACCACAGTGATCATTGCTGGTTCCGTTTGAGGGAAACAGGGGGAGACAACAAACAAAAAAACAATGGAGGGACTGGACTATGAGGAGCGACCAAATAAATTGGACATGTTCACGCTGGATAAGAGAAGATTGAGAGGTGACATGATTGCTATCCTTAAGATTCTAAAGGGGAGAAACAGTATAGATCATGACAGGCTGTTTTAACTTGTCCAGAATAGTAAAACCAGAGGACACAGCCTGCGATTGAAGGGGGTAAATTCAGAACAAATCTACGCAAACACTATTTCAGTGAGCGAACAGTGAATCTGCGGAACAGGCTCCCTAGGGAGATGGTTGAAGCAGGAAGTGTTGATTCATTCAAACACAGATTAGATGGTTTTCTTTTAGGAAATAACATTATGGGATATAGTACATAGATAGTTTGGGACATATGTACATGCGACCGCCAGGAAGGTGGAAGGAGAACTAGATGGACGTTGGTCTTTTTTTTCATCGAGCATTTCTTATGTTCTTATATGACGGACTCTATATAAATGCTTGTTGTTGTTGGAAGAAATCCTGTGTTCTTTTTCTTCTTACCCCGTCCTTGCCATTCTTTGGTTATTTTCCGATTACATTTTCTATGGCTGGAATATGTTTTGGTTAATGTTGAGTTGCACAGTTAGTTATAGCATGGAAATAAAGATGGAATGGGAAGTGCAGGAGATGTGTTTATAAAAGACTTTTGGGAACACAAACTATATAATATATACTAATCGTTGCATTTGATATAGCACTTTTCACATTGCTGTGCAATTGGCTGCCGCATTTCGCCCACAAATATGCAGGCAATTCACTTTACAGTCTATTCTGTGAAGCACTTTGAGACATCTAGAAGATGTGAAAAGCACTAAATCAAATGCAAGGATTATTATTACTTCACATACACAGCAGTAAGTAGGAACCATTTGTTATTCGATTGGCGGATCGCTTTTCTGAGGGAAATAATTCCTTCAAAGAGAAAAAGAATTGGTCACTTGAATCCATGACTGTTCAGGGTCACAACTTTGTGCAATTGGCTGCCGCGTTTCGCCCGGTCAATTCACTGTACAGTATATTCTGTGAAGCGCTTTGAGACCTCTCGAAGGCATGATAAGGCACTATATCAAATGCAAAGATTATTCTTCTCAAATTGTTTTATCCGAAACCCCACTCTTTAATCACACCCTTTAACATTTCTAATACTGAAGTATATGTATATCTTTTTAAAAAAATAATCCCTGTTGATTCCAGGGGGAGAACATTGCACATCTCCACCTCTGTGTGAAAAAATGGTTCCTCACCTCAATTATAACCGTCTTGGTTGTAATTTTAAGGCTGTGGCTCTTTATCACAGATCTCTATACCAGGGGGAAGAGACGTCCACTATCTAATTTATCAATTACTTTCATTATTGTAAATATCTCAATTAAATCATCCTTTGTCTTCCTCTGCTCTTTAAGGAATATATCCCTAGCCTAAACACTAATAATAATCCTTGCATTTGATATAGCGCCTTATCACGTCGGTGAGCTGCCTCAAAGCGCTTCACAGGATATACTGTAAAGTAAATTGACTGTATTTTGTAAGCAAAATGTGGCAGCCAATTGCGCCCAGCAGTGTCCCACATCAGTCATGGATTGAACGACCAAATTATTATTATTATTTATTTTTTGAAGGGATTATTACCCCGGAAAGAGATCCGCCAATCGACTAATAACCAGATTCCTACTTACTGCTGGGTAAACTGTGGCCTGTGTGTGGAGTAAGGAAACCTGCCTAAGGTTATGACCTGCCCTGGAATCGAACCCGGGTTCTCTCGCTAGATGAGTGCTCTAACCGCTTCACTACAGAACTCCACGATTATCAGGGATAGTGGGAATTGTCCAGGATAGTGGGAATTATCTGGGATCCCAGAAAATGTTCTTTAGGAACCCCAAATGCCTGGAAAACTTGGATTTCTATGGGCTTCCCGAATCCCACGAGATCCATCCCGGAGGCGTTGGGATTCCAGAGAATTACCGAATTCTCTAGATATCTGGTTCCGAGTAGTGAAATGATGACATTCTTTTCATTAAAAAAACAATAAACACGGAGCAAGGGATAGGCAGGATGGTGGGCAGATTTACGTCTGTGTCTGTCTCTCAATCCCCAGTTTCAGTCACTCTTTCTCCGTCTCTCAAACACTCTCTCTTGTCTCACTATCTGCAGTCTCATCCTCTTTCTCAATCCCTGGTCTCTTTTTTCCTTAATTCCCTTTTCTCTCTCTCTCTCTCTGCCCCCAGTTTCACTCTCTCTCTCTCCATTTCTAGTCTCACACTCCCTATCTCAGTCCCCATCTTTCTCTTTTCATGATTCCCTCTCTCTCCCTCTGTAATTTCTCTCTCTCTCTGATTCTCTCCCTCTCTCACCTGTCATCATCTCATCATTCATGAAAAATAAATCTCAAGCACTTCCCCTTCACCCACCCCACCACCAACACACACACACAGACAGTCTGGAAACAGAGAGACAGTAATAGAATTGACAGCAAGAGAGAAATGAGAGACATACACTGAGAGTGAGTGAATGAACAGACTGATGAGAGAGACGAGGACAAGCAGAGTGAGAGAGAGAGAGACAGAGATGGAAAGAGAGAGGGGCAGACAGATACAGAGAGGCAGATAGACATAAAGCGATGGAGAGAGGCAGAGAGAAAGAAAGAGAGTATATGAATTATTTGCACATACTCTCCTATGAAGAATATAGCCTCTTCAGCCCAGATATTAAAGGTATTAAATAAATCCTCTTCAAGGTTAATATATTCCTTCTTAAGATTCAGTTCCCAAAATGGATACGCAACTCCAAATGAGGTTTGAGCATCATTCTGTATAACTGAAGACTCACATCCATTTATATTCCAGACCTTCAATAAAGAAAACATTTCACTCACAAAATGCACAGTTAATCACTGAACTGCTCGATTGTAAATTTGACATGGAAGTTGCTATACCAAATATAAGAACTATTATTAGTTATATATATATATATATACTAGCTGTACCCGTTGTAGCTTCGCTTGCAACCAACTGACCCAATATGGAATTGGATTGACACACAGACACACACACAGAGAGACATTTCGTCTTTATCTATACTGTGAGGACTCAGGGGGAGACCCTCTTTTAATATTTTTTATCTCTCTCTCCCAGTCTCTCTCTGTTTGTCTCTCTCTCTCTCAGTCTGTCTCTCTCTTCGTCTTTCTCTGTCTCAGCGCTTTGGGACGTCCTCCCAACGTGAAAGGTGCTCTATGAATGTAATTTTGTTGTCTCTTCCAAAAAAAA